TTGAGTTGTTAGTTTATTTTGTGTGCTTCTAAAAATCCTTTCTCCTTTCTCTTCTGTTATCACTTTTCAATACACTTTACTGTTTTCCCCTCATTTTTCTATGCATTTAAATTTCTTATACTTGTGTTTTATAATAGTGACTGAATATAATACTATAGCTTTATCTGAAATCACTCTCTCAATAAGGTCTTCTAAATCACTTAACATAAAAGAAGCCTGTATATATATTTTTAAAAGCACATATCGAATAGAACTGATGTGAAGGCAACATCAATGAAGCAGAACTGGTCTTGCCCTATACTCCAGGGACTATAATTCAAAAGGTAGTTGACTTTATTTGCCATGGTTGACAGCTTCTTCTCAGACTGCTTGAATAAATTTGGGTATTAATATGCTTCCTGTCTATTTAGAGAGAATTACTATCCTATCTGCCTCCAGAGACTGCTTTGTTTCCAGATTTAACTCATCACAATATGATGGGTCCTCACTTTTGGTTTAGGTGCCCTACTTACAAAGCATGCCTTAATTTAATAAGTAATTTAATAAGTTTAATGTGTTCAGTTCCCTCTTGGAGCAACACACTGTGCTACATACAGCATAATATATGAAGATATCTAAAAAGTGTCTTCTGCAACACTCAAAACACTTAGCCCCAAGATAAAAGAAAACAGGAAGAGACATGCAGTGGAATTGGAGGGGTTGTGACATTTTTCCAAAGTTCTCTAGAGAGCAGGTGTGGTCTTCACTGAGGTGGAGAGAGATACTGTCATTGAGCACTGACAGGTATTTTGAATATGTTTTCATCCACCTTGTGAGGTGGATGGCATGACTCACATTTTACAGATGAAGAAATTGGTGATCAAATCAGTTAAATAACACCCTCAAAGTCGTTCTGCCAATTTCTTCAGCATAACAGAACCCAGCACGTGGTATGCATTTTTTGAAATTTCCACAGAAGCTAATTTGAACATATAACAAGAATCTCTTTCTTGTAGTTATCAGAGATGTGGTAAGGACGGTGCAAATGTGTGAGGCAGAGTGTAGAGAACTGTGAGGGAGGTGATCTACAGTTTTTATGAAGTAAACATGAGGGAGGAATCTAGACTAGATTCCCAGGTTTTGGCTACATTACAGAGCTGAGAAACATATCAGGGTTATTCACTAAGCACCCAAGGGAAAAGCAGGTGTGAAGGGAAAGATAATAGGGTCAAATTTAGACCTCCTGAATTTGAGATAATATTGCATCAGTCAGAGTTGCTCAGTTAAAAAACATGGATCTGGAGCTCCACAACACAAACCTGTGAAAGAAAATTATTTGTTCATTAAAGCCATAAGCTAGATAAAGTTGCCCCAGGGAGAGTGTGTAGAGTGCAAAAGAGAAGAGGTCTTCACAGAACCCTGGAATTACCATGTACGAGCAAGAGGACTCCAGAGAGAAGGAAAAAAAGTGAAAATATCTAAGTCAAAAGACTTAAGGAATGGTCAACAAAGTCAAATTGTGCACCGAGGGACTGGTAGTCCAGCTGAAGAAGTCGAAAAGTAGCCCATGGCTGACTGGATTAAGCACCCGAGAATAGAGATAGTATTTATGGAGTTGAGAGAAAGCAGACAAGAATTGATGTGAAGCTTGGCATTTTTCTCTATTATTATATTTTTATGTTACCAGGCCTGAAAAATATGGGTAGAACAGAAATTGGGAGAGACCATTTCAACTAAGGGAATGAGATTTGTTCAAATTCATTCTCATACCATAACTAAAGATTAAGTTTCTATTGCTAGTAGTCAACAATGTCATGTTTCCATAGTGAAGACAGTATTTAGTTCCTCTTAGTTGTAACATTTGGTTCTCTTTTGGTTATAACAACTATTGATTAAACAATATCATTTGAAACTGAGTATTGTGCTACCTGACATCATGTACAAGATTAATTTCAAAGAAGTCATGGCAAGAAAGTGGTATGACATGCACAGCTGGTTCATCCCAGAAATTTTTAGAAAATCATAAAGGTCAATTCCAATTGGGAAAGAGAGATCTTGACTATATACCCTCTTAGTTTCATGGCAGCTAATTTTACTTAATGTAGCTGTGAATTTGGAAATTCCCTGCCCCATCTTTTCCCATTCCTCTGATGGCTGTTTTGGATATAAGAAAGAAGCAGTAAAAAAAAAAAAAATTTCTTTTGCCCTTCCCCAACTCCCCTGTATCTTTAATTGGTTTTATTCAGTTCCTTCTTCTATTCTGATCTTTCTATTCCATCCCATTTGCTTCTTCCTTCATGAGAGCACTTGATTTGCAATATGGCATAGACAATAACTTTTTTTAGTTGTATTTCTTTTTTTTTTTTACATTTAATCCCTGTATACCTTTACAACATGCAAAATGAATTTTCTCAGCATGAATACTCTGTATATTAGTCCAGTCAAAAATTTTACTATATACATAATCAGTAGATACTTTTCAATTTTTGTGTTCATTAAATATTTTGCTTCTTTTTCCTTTTTGCCTTTATTCCCTCCCTCCCACCTCCCACCTTCTTCCCATACTCTCTCTAGTATCCACAGTTGCTATCCATGTTTTCATACCATCCATTCTTTCAGTGTCTGCCATAGAGTGTAGGCATTCAGTACATATTAAGTGGGAACATACAATGCCTCTCTTTCATAGTCCAGCTTGCTTCACATAACATTAAATCTTCCATATCCATCCACTTTCTATAAATGCCAGCATCTCATTGTTGTTTATGACCGAGTGGTATTCTATGGTGCCATACTTTTTCAATCTATTCACCTGTTCTTGGACATTTAGGTTGATTATTTTCTTAGCAATTGTAAATACCAAGAGGAATACTATCAGGATAGACATGACCAGGCATTGCCCTCGGAAATAGCATGTCAAAACCTATCTAATACGCTTACCTGCCCACAATTCTGTAATAGCGATTGCTTCCTTAGGCCAACACCCAATCTGCACAGAAGATGATACAAATCCAAAAAAAGTCACTGGAAAGCCAGATTCCAGTGCTAGTAGCCATGTCACTTTTCTAGTGATATGGTCTTGTGCAAATCTCTTAACTTCAACTAGTATCAATTTTCTTGGTCAAATTTGTGTGACGATCAGACGAGATAATGTTTGTAAAGATGCTTTGTGATTGCAAAATGCTATTCAATAATTAAGCTATCATCATCATGGGTATGATGTGAAAGCTAAGGTGGACCAAAATTTCTCCTCCGAAATCTGTTCTGAAGACCCAGACTTTCCCTTCCAATCCCTGCATTCAAACAGATTTCTCAAGAGCTGCATCTTCTCTGTTCTCTGTTCATCTGTGTTCATGTAGTGCTCAATGCAACTGTCTAACTTTAAGTTAACCCCATTCTCCTTCCCTTAGTACACGGTGGGAGCCCTTGAAGTTCATCCCTAAGAAGAAAAATGGACAACAATTTACTAAGTGCTACCTCTGGGCCAGGCACCTTTTTTTTTTTTTTTGCCTGATATCCTTTTCCATAAACCACAGACTGTTCTCACAGAGGAGAAATTATAAAGCCTTTGCAGCTAAGAGCAGTGGAAACTGCATTTCTATTAAAAGCTGTCTGTGGCTAGATATATATCCATCCCAGGTACAAAGTTAAATGATGTGAAAAAAAAAAGTTAAATGATGTAAAAAAACTAATTCAAAGACATAAAACTGTTATATAAAATACCATTAAATATCTTCCACTCAGTGTTAACAAAACACAGCCATAAATTTCCTTTGGTTATCATTTTGCATGTTACTGGTTCTCAGAGGGTCCTGTGTCTGCAAGTTCTTCACTGTTGAATTTTGCTGCCCGGTCCTGGCATATAAGATGTCAGCAATGCATGACCCTTTTTAAGATGTCATGGTTTTAAACTTCCTCAGTATCAGCATTCCTGAATTTAGCCATGCCAAGTTTATTCTAGGGCTTTTTTTTTTTTTTTTTTTTTCTGTAACTATTGTAGCTATTTTCTATCTACTGGCTAAGCAGTGCTGAGGCTCAATATTTCATATACTAGAAATCAGAAATTTGGAGGCCCACCATCTGAGCCATGGCATAGGGCTCAAGGTTGGGAGCTGGTGCATTTACTCTGAACTTGAAGACTGACTCACAACAATTAAATGGAGTCATACATTGGGGGTATTGTTTACCTGCTGGATGAAGGGATAAAATGGAGAGGAAGAGCACCAGCTCAGTAGCACAGTGGAAACATTGATAGAGCGAGGCTTGATGCATATGCAAGGTCATGGGTTTGGGTCCCTGATTGGCCTATAAACTCTGGGCACATGAGCCCATGATCCTGACTGGCTGGGCAGGCTTCAGGAACAGGTGGAGATCATGGCATGAGACTCACCTGAAGGTGGGCATTTTTGTATCTCTCTCTCTCTCTCTCTCTACACACACACACACACACACACACATATTAGGTCATCAGGAAACTCATGATGTATTTTTCTATGTTTTTCTATACAAAAATTCATCTTGACTTCCCCCATCCCCCCAAAATACAGGGAGTATTAAAGTAATACAGAGCATTATATTTGGGAAAGTCTGGTGGCCCCAGTTTTCCTGTGGTTATTCACCTAATCCACAGGTCCAAAGGAAATCTACATGAGATATAGCTCATAGAATTTGCCTAATTCTGTGAACTTGTCAAGATTTCCATTTACTTTTGTAAGCCAAGACCTAAATTTAGACAGGCCTGTCCTAAGTCTCACCAGATAGAATGCTGGCAGAATGGAAATGACTGGTTGGTTAATAGTGGCCGGGTAGAGAAGCATTCAGGATTTGCCTGGGTACTGTCGTCCATGGTTCTCTTCTTACAAGTCAGTCAGACCAGACCAGAAGCATTGACTTGTTTCCTAGACATGAGATGCCTTTCTGGAATGTGACCTGCCTGCCCCCTCTTAGGGTATGCTTACCCTGGCAGGGGTCTGATCATGGTAGGTAAACTGAGCCAGATTCTGATGACCCTGCTCTCCTTCCAGGGAACAGCATCCTCCATTCAGCTGCTGATAGTGTGACCAGTGCAGTACAGAAGGCGAGCCAGGCCTTGAACGAGCGTGGAGAACGGTTAGGCCGAGCAGAGGAGAAGACAGAAGACATGAAGAACAGCGCCCAGCAGTTTGCAGAAACTGCACACAAGGTGGGCCAGCGGAGGGTAGGGGACTCAGCTCTGGGTTGTCAGGGAGCCGTAGCGCCAAGAAAATTTATTTCAGTATGTTTCCTGTGATGGGAGATACAAAGTCCAGCTTTTTCATTAGGGGAGTTGGGGAGCTTTATACAATTTCCACCTGCTACTTACTAAGCACAAGTCACAAAAAAAGTCTTCTTACACTTGGTTTCTTTGACCCTTTAGAAAATATAGGCCGTATCTATTTCGTGTACAGACACAAAATGGGGGAGGGGGAGCAGTGTAGAGATCAGGTCTCAGAATGCCCCCAAACAAACCCCAGCCAATGCTTGAAAGGACCTTTGGAGGGCTTCAGGCCTCCTGCTTGATTTTCCATCTTGTCCCTTTCCCAGCCTGAATCTAGCATCCTGTGTTCTTATCTCTTTACCAGACACAAATCAGGCTCTAGTCCCAGGGTACAACACACTTCAGAGCTAGCTTCCCCTCTAAGAGATACCAATCACTGCTTTGGAGCCTCAATTCTGGAACTCTAAGCTTGACCAGGCCAGGGCAGAGCAGCCAGCCAGAATCCCTCCTGCCTCTAAATCCAGGGAACAGCCTCGCCTGTGCTTCTGAGAACACACCATACACACTCGCACACTCCCCAAGAACTGTGCCTTTCAGAAGGAAAAGGGGAGTTTTTATTGGCACCAGCTATCTCAGGCAGTCGCAAACCAGTGGCAGCCCTGTTGGCCAGGTGATAAAGAAGATTTATTGCTGTTCTTGTGCTTCAGATCAAAGGGCAGTTCTTTTTGCCTCATGATTTGAATTTAGGTTTCCAGAAACAACTTCTGCTGATAACTATGTCGGCATGTCAGACTCATGAGCCCTTCAGATACGCTTCTTAGGTGAGCTTTGGGAGGAAAAATGAACTTGCTTCCACAGAAAACCCACCTCTGCTGAGAGGACAAGAATGAGCAACCTAAAAAAATCAAACAAGAAAGATAACCCTAGCTAAGCTGAGGGAACCTCTCCTAGAGGTAGAGGTTTTCACTCAAGCCCCACTGAGAACCCGACCCAAGTGGGTGCTTCCTGCCTTCTCTTTCTCGACCTGCTTTGCACAGGCCTTTTTTTTTTTTCATTAATTCTCTCTATGTCAAGGTCTTCCTGCATGGCTGCCTGTGCAGCCCATCTGGAGTCCCCTTGGGAGAACTTGCAGATCTGTGTGAAAATGCAGGCAGCCCTGCTGGAGGCCAGAGCCCCTGTTGCTAATGCTGATGCCACTGCTGCTGCAGTGAGAATGAAACTCAGATGTAAGGTGACCCTAGTCCCTTCCTTCCTTATCCAGCCTTTGTAATACAGACAGAAATGCTAGAATTCCAGCCCAACTTTCATTTATAACAATAGCTACTTATGTGACTTAATTGGGGGTGGGGGGCAGGGGCAGATAGTAGAAGTCTGGAAAAACAAGTAAAGTGTTGACCTGGGAAAGGAAAGACTAAAGGGAAAAAGGGAATAAACTTTATAACTCTTCAAGTCTGGGAAAGGTGACAGTACAGACAATTATCTTTCATGTCTTGTCACACAGAATCGAGCAATCAATAGTGCACTGATAAAATCCTGCTAAAACAAGAGCTGAGGTTAATGATTAAACATGAGCCAGGTTACCAAGGACAACTGTGAAATCACTCTTCCTAGGTGGAGTAGACAATACCAGGATGTCATCCTCGTAGGCGTCTCTCAGGGGGAGGTGTACAAACTCTGAATTGGATAACCTAGCCAGATGGCCTGAATTCTTGGCCCTGGTGGCCCTATTTCCCTGCTATTGTGGCCAAGTCTGTTAGGTAATTGGGAAGGCAATATGGAATAGTAGTTAGTATACCATGCTTGAATCCGGCCCTGTCATTTACCATCCTGGCAACCCTGGGCAAGTGCTCATATCTCTAAGCCCTAGATTATCAGTACAATGGGGCTAATTAATAACAGTACCTACCTCCTGGGTACTTGAGCTAATTCAAAGCTATGTGCACAGTATGGAGCACATATAAACCTAAATTACCATTATTTATAATTATTTTCATGAAAATAATTTCCTCAGGCCTGCCCTATCCAGTCATGTAATGAGTGCTGTACAGAGTTTGGAGAATTGTTACTGGTGATTGAGGAACCTTGACATAAGGACAAGGAAGGAGTGGAGGTGAAGGCTGTGCCTCCAAACTCAAAGAGCAAGTGAGTGGGAGGGCCTCCTGATGAACGTACAGGCTATATAAATGCAGAGCAGCTCTTGAATCAGGACATGTCCGAAGAGGAACTGATAAGGCCACAAAAGAACAAGAGCCTCTGGCTTTGACGAGTGAGAGATTATCAGGCAGTTACCTGCTTTCTAGGAGAGATGGAGGAGGCAGGGGCCCTTTGTATTTGTTCTGTTTTCTCTTCCTGCCAGTGGTCTCAGGGGAGCACAAGGGGCTGCCAGTGTCTGTTAGTGTGTGTAAGGGAATGTGAGAAAGGCAGTGTTTCATCCAGACTTGGAGCTTTCTAAAACCAGGATGTGTGCTTATGAATCACCAGCATCGGCAGTATTCCCAAGGAGCAGATTGATTTCTTTCGATAAGGCATGGCTATTTTCCCGGGATTAGGACTCCTGACTAGGACCCACTCGCACAGGATGACCATGAAAACGTCATTTCACTGCCAAGATCCCAGCCAGGCCTGTGGGTGAGAGGACGTTCAGAGAAGGAACCCAGGCTTTGCAGCCCCCAGACGTGCACAACTCTGCTGACTCATAACGAGTGGGCTGTGTTTACGCGTGGAGACACAGCACACACAGATCCCTGAGCCGGGAACGGCAGTTTCAAGTGATAGTCCTTAGTGCTCCCAATTGTATAAGGGTGCAATCCTAGCTGGAGACTACAGCACAACTTTCCAGATGGAAGAAAAGAGGGTCTATGATGACCCAGGTTCAAGACTGAATGGATCACTTTTGCACAACCTCGTCATTCAGATTTGTGAAGGCTTGTCCCCACAGATGGAAAATGCTCCTGCTTCCTCTTTCTCCAGCATTCCCCTCAGCTCCCAGGTCCTGTTACCCTGGCTTGAGGAAGTGTGGTTCTTCCGGAGCTGTGGGCTTGGCACAGTCCCAGGCCTTAAGAAAGTGCAATTCAACCACAAACCCAGGCACAAACTCAGACCTGCTCACTTTCCCCTGCCCCAAAAAGCACAACATTGCAGTGTGTGCAGTGCTTTGAAGGCCTGCCACAAGTAGTGAGTCAGCAGCCAAGAGCTTTACCCTACCTAGGCATCCTCAGTTGACATTTCTCACAGAAAAGAACATTGAGCTGCCCTGTTTTGCACAAGCCTACATTTGTGGGGAAGGAAGGATAAGTGGCATGTCTCCACTGAGAAGAATGTCTCTATGTGTTCTAGTCAACTGTTTCCCTTGGGTCTCTAGGCCAGAAAGGATCTCAAGAGCTCAGACATTTTAGAGTTTCTCTTTGGCATCAGTAACAATTTTTTTTAATTATTATAATTGTTTAAGTACAATGGGTTCCATAGCATTGAAAAAGAAATCTTTCCATAAGATATAAATAAAACAAATATACCAAAAGGACATTTTAAACCCCTGTGGAAACTCTGACACCTAAATTAATCCATAAGCATTAAGAGTTGGAGGTTTTCTTAAGGAGTCTGAAGTACAGAGCAGCAGGGACCTTAGCACTCAAAGTCACACAGAGGATTTGTAGCACCAAGTATCCTGGCCTTGCCGAATCCAGTGCCTTTTCTGCTCCACCATCCTCCCTTCCATATCCTAAAGTTTCAAATACCAGGGAATTAGAAAGAAACTAGAATAATGCCTCTTTCTGCAAAATTATCCATCCTTGGGGCCAGCAGGTGGGGTGGTCATTAAGGGCGCTGGACTCCCACATGGCTGACCATGGTTTGCGACCCAGATCTAGTAGCTTGCTTTCTCAATTTCCCTCTCTCTCTCTCTTCCTCTCTCTTTCTCACTCTGTCCCTCTATAGTAAAATTTTTAAAAAAAAAGAAGAAGAAATAAATAAAGTTAAATAATTCTTTTAAAAAATATCCACCCTAATCTGTTCATGCTACTATAATAAAATACCATAGACTGGGGTAACTTGTAAACAACAGAAATGTATTGAGTCTGGGAAGTACCAGCAGATTTGGTGTCTGGTGAGAGCCTGCTTCCTAATTCACAGATTGTACCTTATGGCTGTGTCTTCATGTTGTGTAAAGGGTAAATGAGTTTCCTCAGGCAAAAATCCCATTCATGAGGGCTCCATTCTCATGATCTAATCACTTCCTCAAATCCCCACCTATTTTTTTTTTCAGAGGTTTTTGCTATAGGGTGTGTGCGCTCGCCAGAAAGACAGAGAGAGACAGAGAGACAGAAAGTGAGAAATCACCTCTCGGGGGGATGGCCGCACCGCAATCCCTTCTCCTCCATTCTCCCCTCGGGATCTTGGGCACGCATGCACACACACCTGGCGTGAGTTTAAGCCACCGGGTTCAGGACTCGAACCACAGTCAACTACATAGGAGTCCAGTGACATAGCCATTATGCTAACTGCTGGTCCCCCCACCTATTCTTTTTTTAAGAGAGAGATTTTTGTTACTATAGGTGTGTACACCCACCAGAGAGAAAGAGAGAGACAGAGAGACCGAAATCCAGAAATAACCCCCCCAGGGGGGTATGGCCACACTACAATCCCTTCTCCTCCCTTCTCCTCTCAAGACTTTGGGCACACACGTGCCCAGCATGAGTTTCAAGACTCCAGGTCCAGACTCAAACCGTGGTCAACGCTGTGAAAGTCTAGTGACATAACCATTACCCTATCTGCTAGTCCCAATCCCCACCTTCTAATACTATCACCTTAAGGGTTAGGTTTTAACATATGAATTTGAAGGAGGGCGGGGGTTCAAACATTCAGACCATAACAATGTCTAATTCAGTTGTATTTCTGCAAAGATTAGTTGATTCCCAACTCAGGCTTGTCCTTTCAGATGCTCTGTCATGGTAGCAGGGTCTAGTTGTAGGCAGCAGCGCAATCACTGCTAAAAATTAATGTCTCTGGGTGAGTTGACACAGGCCAGTTAAACTTAGAAGTTAACAGCTCAATGAATACCAGGACAGCAGTATTGATCAAATATTTATGCTTGGTATTCATTATGCACAGCACTTAAGCAACTCTCTTAAGTGTTGGTGGTCCATGTTGCTAAATAATGTAAAACTAGGCAGAGCAAGAAGTGGAAGTCATACAGTGGGCTGGGGGGGGTTCAGAGTGGACAAGGACGTGGGACATATCTGAGGTAGAGCTCTGGCTCTGTCATTTCACTTACCATGTTTCTTGGGATGCAAACTCTTTGAGGACAAGTAAGTAGCCATCTCTGCTCCTCTTGCCAAAAATGCACTGCACTCCGCACGGCAGCCTGGGCATACCCAGAACTTCACAAACACTATTGGACAGGTGACTGACCACATCAGCACTACAGAAGGTCTGTGAAGGTCTTCACTGGCATCTTCAGACAGAGCCACCCAGGAGCTCTTTCAGCTGAACTTTCTAACACGGAGGTTACCTTAGCAACATGAGGGCTAGGCTCACTGTCCCCCTCTCTGTCACAGCATGCAGACCTAACCAGGACACTACCTGTTTGGGAAATTATGCTATTTTCACTGGGGGCCTAGTCAATGTGGCAGCACTGTGATTACGACTTCTTTGTTGAAGAAACCGAGAAGAGCAAGGGAAGATTCAAATTACCTTGTGTTTTTGCTAGAGAAATGGGTTATTGGCATCTTCCAGGATGATACAGAGTACCACTGAGTACTACCACTGAGTATGCTCAAAAGCGTACTCTTTTTATAATTTTTATAATTTATAATTTTTATATTTTTATAATTCTCAAAAGGCAGAAAGCTTGGTCATGATGAAGATGATAGGGCTTCCTACAGAGTTATTGCCTGCAGGGAATCACTCGTTCTTTGTTCAAAGGAATTTTGAGATCCCTACCTATCCTCAGTTACTTTCAGCCCCAACCATAGGAATGAATCCCTAATATCACTTTGGACACTTGAGGAACTACAATTCAGCCTCTACTCTGCCTTCTGGTTCACATAAGTGTATAGTTTACTTGGAAAATATCTGGTTAAGAAAAGCACAGACAGATTTAATGTTATGTTCCATGGCTGCATATCATTTCCTTAATATATCATCAGGGGCTCCAGCTGGGCTTGGGAAACAATTAAATGATACAGTGGTATTTGGAGTTCCCACTTGAGCTAACGTTTCAATAGGTCACATTTTGCAAATACCAACGGGAAGAGTAATAAATCAAGGCCTGGCCTTGGTCTATTGTTCAGTCCTAGTCAATAACACGATTTAATTGTCAAGTGCTGTTGACTTAGTTAAATGTCCAGGACGGAATTGAGTAAATTATTGTAGAGTATCTCCCTGTAAACTATTGATTTTTAATATTTCATAAGATGTCAGTAAACACTTAACATCTGAGCAGTGGTTCTCTTTCCTAATAACTACTCACCCAGGAACCTCGGCTGTTCGTTGTAAAAGTCACTCATTCTGCCTGTGTATTGGTACGCACGCACACACAGAGACACACACACATCATCGTCATCATCACAAAAACATTTACTCTTTCAGTTGAATTAAAGATTAGCACACAGCACTCTCCCCACCTGGACACATACACCAATGAAATTACTATAAGGGAAAGTAGTAAATGCAATGTTCAGTAAACTATTTGGGGAAATGGTGCTCATTTACTCAGTGTCACTGCGAATAAGAAATGGTGACCTGCCACACAATAGAATCTTAGTGCTGCTTCTCATTGTGAATACGCGGAGGACGCTGCGAATGAATTTTCCCTGCTAACAAGGTCTTACTTTTCTCATCCCGCTCTCTCCTTAGCTGGCTATGAAGCACAAATGTTGAGAAACTGCCTATCCTGATGACCCTGTTAAGAGAAATGGAAGACTGCGTTCGGCAGTTTTTACAAGAATTCCGGACCTCCGCTTGCTTCTTTTCTTCCAATATATGGACATGTAGGGTTTTTTTGGTTTATTCTTTTCAGATGTTAATATGAAAGAAAAGATGTTGTGTTTGTACATTTCCCTAATGATCTTGCTAAGAAATGCTACAATAGCCTTAGCTTCATTTTGGGTTTTTTTTTTTTTTTTTTTCACTGTGTGCGTGTGTGTGTGCGCGCGCGCGTGTGTGTTTGTATGTGTTTTCCTTTTTTAAAAACAATTTTTTTTGTAGTTTAAATATGAAACTTGGACCAAATGATAAACGACTGGGTCTCAATGGCAACGCATTTTTTTTTCCCTGATATTAAGCAGGAAGGCATTTTAATGTGGTGACCTCAGATGTTATTGTTTCTGGATGAAAATAAAAGTCAAGCTGTGATTGATTTCACTCACTCTCCCAGCTACTCTTAATTTGAAGGTTAAAATCTATGTCCTGAGATGTTAATCTGTATTATGAAAAACAATTGGATTTATCGAGGAAAACAGCAGTCTTAGATTTTGCTCTTTGCATCATTATCTTTTGATTGAACCACCATCAGAATTTAAAAAATGGCAGAATCAAAGATAGAAATCTACTTTCTGAGCTACAGTTGCAATAGTTCAGCTCCTTGTTTCCAGATGGATTATTTGGAATGATATGAAAGATAAAAAGTTGAGAGTAAAGACCAAATGAAAAGCTGTATGTATACAGAATGTGTCTTGTTGAGCTTCTGTATATTCATGGATTTTTTTTCTCTCTTGCTATTGTCCCAAATTATAGTGACTAGTATTGAAAAGAGCTTGGATTTTTATGAAAAATTCTATTTGTCCAGAGAAAGGTTTCTGTAAATGATAATGTGAAAAGACACTACATTTAAAATAATTTTTCTTCTCTTTATATAAAGTCATATTTTAGAGACACCTTCACAATATTCTTCAGAAAGGGCTTTCCTTATTTTAGTATACAAATTTTGGAAGTTTCATTTGCTGTTATTGCTGTCTATTTATTTAACATAATTTAATATCTGGTCTTCTTGGCAATTGCAACTTGCCTGATCTATCATAAAACAGCACTATCACAAAGCCTTCCAACTGTAGTCAGATTGAGTAAAGTTGGTTACAAACCTCCAGATTTTGTATTACTTAAAGTAATATTGCGTTTAGAGTCTAGAAGGTTTGTTTCCTAGAGGGTTAAAATGCTAAACATAAAAAAGCTGTGCTTCTTCCTGAAACATCCCAGACACACTGTCAGGGTCCCACTGCAGGGCACTGATGTTTAAGCTGCCAGAATTTCAGGACCTTTTCCTGTTTCTTCCCATCCATTGAGCCAACTGAGTTTATGTGTATTGTTGCCTCTTACAGAGCAGCAATGTGACTTTTTAGATTATTAATGCTAATTTAAATGGCTTAAATTCTCCTGATAAAGTATTCCTAGGGAGACAGAAAGTTAGTATGTTGGGGGAGGTTCTTAGTATGTGTCAAAAGATGGGATTATTCGGAGAAGAATATCTGAATCTTTTTATATGAAGAACATACAAGTTTACTATAATATTGTATGCTTTTCTTTTGATGGCTTAAAAATTTTAGGAACCGAGGAGCATGCCATTTGAAACATTAGAAACGTTTCTGATTTCTAAGACAAATCTCAAATATCACTCAAACAGATTTGGTTTTAGAAGTCAGTTCAGAACACACACATACACACACACACACACACACATCATCTTCCCAAGGTGGACTCTGGTTTCAGAGATAGATAGTTGCTATAAATAACTGAAAGGATGAATCTAAAACTCCTTGACAATTGGCCAAACTCAAGAATAAAACTGGTTGCCAACTATGTAACAACAGTATTTAGGAAGCGCTTCTGAAGTAGCAGAGGATGGGGTCATAAGCATACTGTGAAATCTAAGATTATTTCTCCCTGGCAGAATTGTGATACTTACATTTCATAAATATCAGTGTTCCACATCTTGCCCTCTTTCCTCACTCTCTGTTTATCCTTTTAGACCCAAAATCTATCAGCCATAGCCTGGATTAGAAGAAAGCCCATCCAAATCTTTATCAGCTTCTCCTATTGATTTGTTTCCAGGTCATGATCATGCCCTTGACATACCTCCCAGTATCAAAGTCCTGCCTAAGCACCCCCCTCCCCTGGCCAACAGAAGCACCATAACAACAATCCCTATGCTTCCTCTACCTTTCAGCTTCTTGCAGAGGAGCCCCAGGATCACGCCTGCAAAGTTCTTTGCTATCCTTTGGTAGAAGGTGCTGCATTACAAGATATTAATATAGTCTAACCTAGAGATTGCTAAAATGGCTCACAACATTTGGGACCAATGCGTTTGGTTGAGCTTGTTAGAAGACACTTAATCTGTTTCATTTTTGCACTTCATTATGAATTTGAGGATACTGTATGTCTGTGAAGGACTTCTCAATTGTATTGACAATGCATCAAGAAAAGAAACTTTCCAGTGTTACCACTTCTTCCTGGAATGTAGCTGTAGTATTTGTCACTAGTATTATTAGATATCTGTGTACAAGAAGTATGCAGTTATTCAGGTTTAATGTTTCATATTAAAGAATGTATTTGTAAAATGTAACGAGATCAGTAGTCAACGTTTTTTAAGCTCTGAAAAAAATAAATTATGTGTTAGACTTTAAATTACAGTGAAATCTGTCTTAATACTACTTTTGTGGCTAGCAAAGGTTGTGCACTTACGTAAAAATATTTACAGAATATCCTAAATAAGGGATATTAAAGATAGGTTTCGCTCTTAATTTTCAGAATTGTAACACTGCTGATGTCTGTTGTACAGTTATTAATTCTTCAGAAGTTCTCTAAGATGTCAAATATAATTTGTTTCATTCAGAGACAAGTAACACCTGCTCTATTGATTCACTATTACAGCAAACCCTAATTTTGTCATTAAATATTTTAACTCTGTGATGAAAGATTGTTTCTCTCAGTTATTTGTGAAGTCTGTGAAACACTACCAAATAGGTACACATGTGATAATGCCATACAGTTAATGCCAATGGAAAAGTCTGGTGTGCCTACAGGGAGGCCTCAGAACTGGGAGTGTCAAGATGCCAGAGCTTCACTATATACATTCTAATGGAAAACTTGAAATGTAAAAAAGACTAAAGAACTAACCATAATTTAGGCAATGGGCGTTCATCCTGCAAAAAAATTAAGTACTTTTTCCTTCTCATGGGTGAAGCAGTTAAACCAATTAATAGTTATCTTTCTGCTGACATCAGTGCCTATTCGACTCCAGTGGACCGTGGCCTCGTTTGGCAGACTGGTTCTATGCCCTGTTAAACTGAAAAGAAGACTTGGTCATATTATGTCAGTTTATTTTTATAAAAAATCAAATGCAACTTAGTACATCGTTTTCAGGGGGAGCAACTTGAGTGGAAATGGTCGCACAACAGCCATCTGTGCCTCATCATGAACACTCCATGAAACTGGGCAACTTTGAAATATGTCCTGCAAGTTCTGCAGGGAGAAGGGAAAGACTCCTGTCTCCAGAGAAGAAGAGAGAGATGTTCTTTGACTACATGAGGACCCAGCCTTAAGTTACTTATGCATTTAATGGCATTTGTTCTCGTGATTTAAAATATAAGCCTGGGTGGTAGTTCAGCATATATCTTCACATTCATACATACATCGGGCATCGAGAAATGAGCTGTCCTCCTAGACACCCTCCTCTTGCCCTTCTGGATATGGGTAAGCAGAGGACAGTACTTCAGGGGTCAGTGACACTGTGGAGATGCCTTAGATGGGGGACATTAGCAAAACATGACAAAAACAAAGACTCAAGAACTATACCGTCCACAAGGCAAGTCTCACTTTATCTCTCTAAATGTCCCTTTAACAAGATAGTGCCAAGGATGGATTTTCTTTTGTTTTGCTTTTTGAAAACCCAAAAATTAAATCTAAAATTAATTTCATATAGCTCAGCTAGACTGATGCAAACACTGTCTTCCTTTTTACCTGCCCTCCTAACCTTTTGGGCAGTCTCCTTTCTTCCCTCCATTCCCTTCTCCTTGTTTTCCAGCCCTTCTTAAAAACTGCTTTCATTCGCCTTTCCTAAAATGTTGGCTGATATTGACTTAGGGCAGCTCCTCCCTCCTGACTGCGTGTCACACCAATTGGGAGCCTGTTAGAAGGCACATAGCTTACTCCTTAATTTGTCTTTTTGGTGTCCTTTGTCTTTTGGAACTAAAAAAATGCCTCTGGATGGTGGGGACCTAGCTTCCTCAGATGCTTGCTAGATCTAAACCAGCAAATTAAAGCTGTCAAGGAAATTAAATCTAATGTGCAGTTAAGCTCTATTACTGTTGTAGCATAACCTTCTGCCTTGATCTCTATTATATTTTCTCCCTTGAGCCTCATCTAAAGCCTTCGGATTTCCTGAGTTGTATTTTCACTTCCCACCTCCCATCTCTCCTCAACTTTTCTGTCACAGTTTCTTCTTTTTTTGCTGATGAGTCGTGGTGGCCTCGGGCTCGCAGGTCTTCAAGAGGTCCACTTCAGTGGCCTGCCTCCTGGGCAGCGCGGGTCAGTTTGGTGAGACAAAGCCGCCTTGTGTCTTTTACCCACAGGAAGTAATCAACAGACCGACATGCCTCTGAGTAGGTTATTGATGCATATGGCCATTGCTCTCACGTTTTCTCTATTAGACATTTTTAATGCTATTGATTCTCTCTCTCAGATGAAGTGAAGGCTTTTCGTTTTTTTAGAGCACACTTTTTCTTCCTGTCTTTCATGTGTTCAACCAGCCCACAGCCCAAGGATACTGCTTAAATGGAACATGGCATCCAGGCTTAGATGTGTCAGGGGCCGGGCAGAAATTTTCAGCCCTGTGAGTCCTGCGTGTCAGTTGTCAACGTTAGATATGGAGCCTCTGTCCTATGAAATTATATCACAATTGCTTTGCCACTGTGATTATTTGTCAGGTGACATGGGAGGAAGAAAAATGAAACCATGAATTATCTGAGCCTTACCCTGAGATCTAAAACATGGCTTGCATGATCAGCGATTTCCTGCAATGCACTCTGAGCATGTGAACCAAATGATCTGTTTAATTTTAACTCTGCTTCCTTGGTGGGTGAAGCATTAAGCTTTCTATTAGTTTTTCTTAAGACCAGTTCTTTCTTTTACTGCTCCAGGAAGGGAAAATCTGGTTTCTACTATTAAACCTGGTCTTTTTTTACTCTCAGTGCAGTGGCTTCTTTCAGGAAGTTCGCTTTGTTTTGTTTGTTGCTATTTTTTGGTTTTGTTTCATTTTATTAGGACCTAGAGTTACAATGACCTATACTGGTAGATACATTTACATTGGCCTGAAACTTTCCAACCTTGAAAAAACCTCTGCATTTGAACAGAAAGAAATTGTGGAGAAAAGGTGAATATATAAATTGTGCCCTGCCCCATCCGCCCCCATGTGTGGAAAAATAAAACACATCGCCTTTTAACTGATGTGGACGTGGGCGGGGCGCCCCCTGGTGGCAATTTACTGGAGGCAGCATTGCATTGCCGTTGAGAGTGTAGAGGTCTGGGTCTATTTGGCCTGCTTTGAAATCCAGCTTCAGTTTGACTCTGTCTTTGGCCAAGTTACTAACCTTTCTCTATGCTTATTTTCTTAGTTTTAGAATGGGAGTGACTGTCTACCTTACAAGCGATTGTAAGAATTAAAATAATGAATGTAAAGCCTTTGGCCCCATGGCTGCCATGTGCCACATAAGGGCTCAGTGTATGTCAACTCAACAGTGGGTACCTCTCTGTGATGGACTCAGAGTCAAGACTTGCCGTGACTCCCAGACTGTGCTGCTTGCTGGTAGACTGCACGTGCTCTCCTTAAACCCTTGGCACAGGGCACACGGGGTAGACATTAGCTAAGCCTTTCTGGCTAATGTTATGGCTCAGGGAAATTATGTGACATATCCTATGGACAGTAATTTTTTTGAGAGAGAGATTTTTGCTATAGAGCACGTGCGCTCGCCAGACAGAGACATAGAGACAGAAAGCGAGAAATCACCCCCCAGGGGGGATGGCCACGCCGCAATCCCTTCTCCTCCATTCTCCTCTCAGGATCTTGGACACACACGCACACGCGACCGGCCTGAGTTTTAAGCCACCGGGTCCGGGACGCGAACCGCGGTCAACTACGTGAGAGTCCAGCGACATAGAAAAAACCTCTGCATTTGAACAGAAAGAAATTGTGGAGAAAAGGTGAATATATAAATTGTGCCCTGCCCCATCCGCCCCCATGTGTGGAAAAATAAAACACATCGCCTTTTAACTGATGTGGACGTGGGCGGGGCGCCCCCTGGTGGCAATTTACTGGAGGCAGCATTGCATTGCCGTTGAGAGTGTAGAGGTCTGGGTCTATTTGGCCTGCTTTGAAATCCAGCTTCAGTTTGACTCTGTCTTTGGCCAAGTTACTAACCTTTCTCTATGCTTATTTTCTTAGTTTTAGAATGGGAGTGACTGTCTACCTTACAAGCGATTGTAAGAATTAAAATAATGAATGTAAAGCCTTTGGCCCCATGGCTGCCATGTGCCACATAAGGGCTCAGTGTATGTCAACTCAACAGTGGGTACCTCTCTGTGATGGACTCAGAGTCAAGACTTGCCGTGACTCCCAGACTGTGCTGCTTGCTGGTAGACTGCACGTGCTCTCCTTAAACCCTTGGCACAGGGCACACGGGGTAGACATTAGCTAAGCCTTTCTGGCTAATGTTATGGCTCAGGGAAATTATGTGACATATCCTATGGACAGTAATTTTTTTGAGAGAGAGATTTTTGCTATAGAGCACGTGCGCTCGCCAGACAGAGACATAGAGACAGAAAGCGAGAAATCACCCCCCAGGGGGGATGGCCACGCCGCAATCCCTTCTCCTCCATTCTCCTCTCAGGATCTTGGACACACACGCACACGCGACCGGCCTGAGTTTTAAGCCACCGGGTCCGGGACGCGAACCGCGGTCAACTACGTGAGAGTCCAGCGACATAGCCATTACGCTAACTGCTGGTCCCATCCTATGGACAGTAATTTTAAAAAGAAGGTTCAAGGTGGTTCTACAGATGTATTTGTGTGATTCCAAGGATACTGTGAGGCCCTTCTCAAAAATAAACCATTCCTAAGTGGTTAATGTTGAGAGTAAGTTAAAGAAAACCATTTACTCCAGAAATTGAACCTAGGCCTAGGTAAAAATGGTCCTAAGGGGGAAAAAAAGGAAGTAAACTAGTATCTCACTAAACCATACAGTAGTGATAACACGTGGTTTTTTGAAGCATCTGGAGCATTCACCTAAAAAAAGGAAGGAAGGTATTACACAAACTGTTTTCCCAGTTATCATGTACTATTCTTTATCATTTCCAAGTAAACACTATATTATTATTAGGTCTTTTGTAAAGGACTATCCAGGCAAAAGGGATCAGATTAGTGACAACAGTAGACCAGCCTCAACCAAATTCCCTAACTCTACCCCTCTAAATATTGCATTATATGTTATTTATTTTTACCAAATTGCGAGCCATGCAAAAACAATTTTTTTCAAGTAAATTAACTAGAATCATTCCTAGCAGAGCCTCCTGGTTTGTCACTAGCTTTGGGTCCTTAGCCAATTATATAATTTTTCTGTATCTGGTTCTTCAAGTTCCAAAGGAAAATAATCCCCACCCTGTTTGCCTCAGAGACCTGGGGAGTGAAGTGAGATGTGGAATGTGAAAGCATTCAGGCCAGTACAGGGTGCTGAAGAGGTGTGGGCTCCTCGCTGCAACCTTGGTCTTCCACTGTCTCCACCCAGCACCTAGGGGACTCCTCTATCTACAACCACCCCTTCCTTATGGGCCATCCCTGTAGTACTACCTGGTATATGACTTCCTCCCACCCCTCAAAGGAAAAATAAATGTTCACCCAGACACTTGAACCCTACCTG